GCAGCTCCCAGCTCATTGCTGCGAGACTTTGACTGGGCTGCAGTGGCCCCAGCACTCCTCTGGGCAACAGGCTGAGGGCCCATATTAGGACCCTGTCCCTCCAAACATTGTGTATCACCCCACAGTTTGTCACCAGCAGGCCCCTCCCCCTTCATATCTAGTTTAAAGCCCTGCAAGCTCTGAAACAAAAACCCCCTTTCTACTTTGAGAAAGTCGAATCCCGTCTGATGCCAGCAAGCCTGGTGCTGTGTAGGTCATCCTGTTGTCAAAAAAGCTGAAGTTGTGTTAGTGACACCAGCCATGAAGCCATGTATTCATAGATTGGGTCTGCCTGTTCCTTGCAGCGGCACCATGTGCAACTGGAAGGAGTGAGGAAAAAATGACCTGTGCCCCGGATTCTCTCACTAGCCGCCCCAAGGCCCTGAAGTCTCTTTTGATCACCCCTGGGCTACATACTGCAACTTCGTCCCCCACCCATGTGGAAGAGTAGTAACAGGTAGTAGTCTGATGGGTGCACTAGGCTAGGAAGTTTCCTACTGATGTTTCTCACCAGGGCTCCCGGGAGGCAGCAGACTTCCCTTTGAGGAGGGTCTGCCCCGCATATTGGACCCTCTGTTCCCTTCAAAGAGAGTCTCCTACAACTATGACCCTTCTTTTCTTCCTTTTGGATGTGGTAGTAATACAGGGGGTGGGTCTTGCTGTTCTCCACAACTCCTCTGGTGCAGACGGATTGACACCCACATCATCCACTGACCAGTCCTCCACAGCTAGAGCCTCATACCTCATGGTAGGCAAGGAGAGGGTTCGCCTGCTACCCTGCCTGAGGACTTGTTTCCACTCACTGCTTCCCTTTAAGTCCCTGCCTACTTCCTGGTGGGGGGAGGATACCCGCTCCCTTTGGCCACAGCCTTTTTCTGGTGGCTGCTCCTGTTCGGGTTTCAGGGAGGTGAGAGCATGGCGACACCAGTCTATCTCTCGCTCAGACTCCTTGATGCTCCTTAGGGTATCTACTTCACCTCTTAGCTCTGCCACCAGGCTTACATAGTCCAGCTGATCACACCTTACACAGCTGTTCTCTCCCCTGCCACCTGTTTACAGCGCAAGCTGGTGGCACTCCCTGCAGCCAGAGACCTGGACGGCTGCATCTTTTCCTGGGAGCTCAGTCCGGGTCGGGACCTCCTTTCTGGCAACCACAGAGGACGTAGCCTTCTGCTGGGTGGATACCATGGCTAAGCTAGGTTCCCTCTTACCACCTGAACTTCTTGAACTTACCTCTTGAGCTAGGAGACTGCTCCCTGCCTGAAGGAACTGCCACGCAAACTGCTGCTCTGCACCCTGTTTGCCGGCCCTGTTCGCCCGCGTTCCCTGAGGGCTGCTCTTGTACATGAGGGAGTTTGGCCGCTGTCACACTCGTCCCTGCCACACTGAGTCAGAGCTGCCACGTGTCAGAATCTCCCTCTTTCCTACTCAGGGTGGGGAGGCTGGGATATCCTCTCTTTCCCGGCGCTTTTGCCGCCGCTGTTTTGCCACTTTAGGAAGGGTCCCTTGGCGGGAACCTCCGACTCCAGAGCCCTTCGCCTTCGGTGGCTTTATCGAAATGGAAAGTTAGGCTTACTCGTCTTTGGATCTTGCATAAGGAAAATGCCTCTATAGCCAAGACATTTATTTAATTTTATCTTACAGGTCATCAGATTTTACACCACAAAGCAGACATTTTCCATGCATCACTTTTCCCATTTGTATGTAATTTTTATACACATATATATGACTAAAGCCGCACAGACATAATCTTTGCATACTATTATGAAAGATGAATTGACACAAGACATAATTAAACCAAATGCAAAATTGCTTAAAACAAGAGGCTATTTTGCTCTTTAGATCAGATTGAGGATTGCTCCCCCTCACCCCATGCAAGGAAAATGTAACCTTTCAGCAGGGCAGTATCAGTGCATCCCTTATCCCTAGAGATTTCATTTTATTTTGGGCATTACAGACGTTCCAGCACGCATCTGAGTATCATGTATTGTTTGCCATAAAGTGACTGCAGATTCTGAATCAGCAAGCCCCTTTGCAAATGCTGGGAGAGGATAAAGAGGCACACTGGCATTAGGCTGTGAGATGATAAAGAGCCCAAGGAAGATGTTAAAGCTAAGACCAAACCACACAGCTCATGACAGTCACTGTTAAAGCATCCTCATGTGGAACCAGTGGGTCCCAGAATAGGAGACGAAGGCAGGATGACATTAACTGTTCCTTCACTAATCTCTCTGCTTTGCAAAGGTGACCTTTTACCAGGGGTGGGGTTGAGACTGAAACTGTCATCACATTTCAGGACGATTATCTCCCAGAATTATCACTAGAAATCCCTTGAATTACCCACATAAAACCTGACATTACAAAACTTTCCTAATGTCTGTGTTTCTGAACCACGTGCTAGTTACTCATTCTGCTTCCAGCTATACTATCGCTCCATTGAAAACCCCCACGCCCACATCTCACAACACAAATTCTTTGGCTACCAGACCTCTTCAAGGGAGCACATCACTGGTAAGAATATTCCAGGTCAAAGGCACACCAGTACCACAGGTCCCATGCCACACAGTCCTTCATGAGCTTCCTCAGTCCCATCTTAACTGCAGTTATACAGCTGCCCTTGTACTACACATTACAGGTCAAAGCAGCACAGAGTAGAAACCAGAATTGCCATAATTCAAGACAAGGTACTGTCCATTGCTTTTCTAAGCTGAACAGCATAACCTTCTTCACCTTTATTAGGTGGGGCTTTTTTGGTTTTTTAAAAAAAGTGGAATTGAAGCCTCTGAGCAACAAGAACGGGTTAGCAAGCACAGTCTGACCTCTCAACTTCATGAGCATCTTGCCCAAATGTTTCCACTGCAATCAAGGGCAGCAGTGGTAGATGGGAACAGGAACTACCCAAGTAGCTGAAAATGCACCAGCTGAGGAAACAAGCTCTTCCCTGGCCCAGATTTCTGCAGGAAGTGGCACGGGAAGTCACAAGACACAACTGCAAGTATTTTCCAGCCAAACAAACCAAGTGCAACAATATGTGACTGGAGAACTGTAAATAGAATATCTATATAACAGAGTGAAGGAAAGTGATATGGGCCAATAAAAAACAGGACAGTCTTAACTGTAAACAAGACTTCATCAGAGCAAGATCTGCTTGTGAAAGTTACCTAAAAATATGGAACTACATGGGAAATGGCATGAAATGCCTCCGTCAAACACAGGTCCTGCCAGGCTCACCCTGTAACCAACATTCTAGACACATGCAGTTGATTCCTCAGGACTTCTGGAAGAAACAATGTCACATGATGTATCTGGAGAAGATGAGAATTATCAGAGACCGCACAGTTTGTAAGGAATTTGGCTTAAGAGGAGAGACACACTGTTAAAAGCAAAAGTATCAGGTGAAGACATGCTACCAGCAAGCCCTGCATGCATAAACTGTAGGGTCAAAATCTACTAATTTTTTTAACAACATTATCACAAAAAGCAGGAGCATAATGATAATATTTGGTGATAACACTAAATTATGGGGCATATGCAACACAGGATCTTGAACACAGAACAACTGATGGTGTAAGCATAAGATAAAGAAGTAAGCTGGTATAAGATGCAAGCACAGACAACAGGTGGTTCAGAGAAAAGGGCAGAATTTGGAGATGATAGTCACTGTGATCTCCTAATGTGATTTGACTATGAATCCCAGGTTTTGTCAGAGATGTATTTCCAGTAAATACACAGAAGAATTTGTGTCATGGTGAAAAGTCTTTAAAATGCTTCCTCTGGAATATTATGAATTTAGAGTTGAACAGGAACATGGAAGAGCATGTAGGATGATTGGGCAAACAGAAACTCATGCATGGTGGGACTACCAGGATTTGTCTTGTCTAGTCTAGCAATACAGAACTGCAAAAGTTTATACCTCAGACATCAAACTTTTCTTCCTTTCTCATACTAAATGTCAAGAACAATTTAGACTTCAATATTTTCAAGTCATAACCTTGGATACCGAACCTAACCTGTATCTAAAAAGAAAAAAAAGCATTTGCTCAAAAATTATTTCCAGTCTTTTCTGAGAAAATTATCCGGAATGTTAAGGCCACACAGATACTGAAAATGTAGCTGCCAACAAAAGCAGTGGGAAAAGAAATAGCTTATTACTCTCACTGCCTTCACTAGCAGCACTGCAGGCAACACTAAGAAATTAAAAACACTAACCCAAAAGGAGCATGGGGATCTCTGTGCTAGAATACAGAAATTAAGAAAAAAACCCACCACTTCTTTGAGGTGATCCGTCAAGAAAATGATCATATCTGACAGCTAACAATTTGAGCGTGTGAATACGTATAGAAAAATGTGCATTTATAGCTCCCCTTAGTGATCAACAGTGCTAGGCGGACCTAAATAATGTTGGTCTCGGACAGGCTGTGACAAAACCAAAACCAGTATCAGCTACTGTTACAGCATCTAAACAGCCCTATGCTGCTACCATTGATATGCGCCCCTACATTAAATATGTCCTCTCTTAAACGACATTTCTTTTTTAAAAAACAAGGCAAACAGAAAATGTACTCTTTGGCAAAGCACTCAGGAAGTGGTAGGATAGGTTTGCAGTCCAGACACATCACATAAACACTGAAAGCATTTGGGAACTTACCGTACTAAATTTCTAACAAGTGTTTATGCCCAGAGGTGTATCTGTTGCTAAGAACAAAGAATTTCCATCAGTCTAGCAAGAGTGTATACTTTAAAGCTGTACTGAACAAGCTTTCAAATAGTCAGCTCTGCAGTGGGTAGAAGTGCCTTATGATTTCACAGAACGAATAAAGCACTTTCAAAAAAAACCTACGGAATGTGTCTTGTCTGTTCTATTATTTAGTCAATTCTGAAATGTATTTCACTTACAGCAGGTTTGAATTACCAATATGAAAGGAAAAACACACAATGAAAAGGTTGTAAGTCTTCTTTACCTTTTTATATGTTTTCTCTTCATTTGGTTTTCCAGCAGTAACACCTCCATTTTCAGTAACAGACGACATCTAGCAACAGAAGCTTAAGTTAAAAACAAAGTAGTTGCTTTAGAAAAGTACGCATTCAGAAAACACCATACAATATGTTACCGCTTTTTGGCTTGTCCTGGGTTTGGCCAGGACAGGGTTAATTCTCACCGCACTCCAGGCAGGGGCACAGCCGGGGTGTGGGGGCTGACTGCACCCGGCCAAACAGAACCCGGTATTCCATACCCTGTGACGTCACGCTGCGTTCCGGTGGGGGGCGGGGCGCGGGTTCCGGTGGGGGGAACTCTCTCACAGCTGGGGGCGGGGCATGGCACCAGTCCTGTTCGGGAGAGCGGCTGTCTGGGTCGTGCGGTTCGTTGTCGTGTTTTCTCCTTACCTGTATCGTTGTTGTTCCTGTTTTCCCTCTGTTTGCTGTTCTGTTAAACTGCCCTTATCCCGACCCACCAGTTTCTGCCTCTTTCTTTCCATTCTCCTCCGCACGCCGGCGGGGGGAGGGGCGGCCGCGTGGC